TATAAGCAACTCGTATAAGTGGCTCATATCAGAGCCTCCATATCAGCAACTTGTATCCGTATCAGCATCTCTGTATCAGCATCCTCCATATCAGCGAGCCTCTGTATCAGTGCCCTCAGTATCAGCAGCATCCTCTGTATCAGCGAGCCTMCGTATCACCGGCTTGTATCAGCAGCTCATCTGTATAAGCGAGCTTCCATATCAGCAAGCCTCCAAATCAGCGACTTSTCCTCCGTATCAGCAMGCCTCYRWATCAGCATCTTCCGTGTCCTTTTTTGAAGGAAATAGTAATCAAATAAAGTGCTAGTTTGCACCTCCATACTGAGTATACTGAGTTGCATTGGGCCATTCCCCTTAGTAATCAAGATATGACCAATTTTTGTTGTATTATTGCATTCTGCTGCAATAYTCAATGGTTGAGAATGCAACTAAAAAGSTACTGAATGGTTGGTAGGCAAGAAAAAGAAGTACCATGCCCAGTAGAAAATTACTGTAGAAAAAGCAATACGGTCTCAAAATAGGAGTATGGTTGTGARTATACGGCTATTTGGGGGTCATAGGGTTATGTAATAGGAATTTTCTGTGCCTTTAAAGCAATTATGATAATGCAATTTTAGTTGCATTTTGTGTATACTGTAGTAGTATTCCATTGTGATTAAAATCATATCTTAAAAAAATACTAGTACATGTTTATTGGATCATTCRACTAAAACTAAACTCTAGTCAAAAACATGGCATGAAGTTTGAGTAACTACGTACCGTACGCACCTGGTACTTCAAAGTACATAGAACGTTGCGTACCGTACCCGTGTTCTCATTGGTGTGTTTGCTCCTGTGTTGAATCGTACCCGTGTTCTCATTGGTGTGTTTGCTCCTGTGTTGGGGAGTTGGTGTTTGTGTAGTGGCCATTGGGTCATTCCTGTAAACATTAAATCCATGCTGACATACTTTGCATCAATGACTCAACGGGAATGAGTATGTGCACACATAGATATTGAATTTTGGAATATGGAATCTTGCTTGAAATTAACAGAAAATAACTGAATTCTAAGTGGTGGGGTTCCTGGTCATGTTGCATTCTCGCCAAATATTGTTGAGAATGCATGGTGCCACCAGCAAGCATGCCAAAACACTACTRGTAAGTATTGACAACACATAGTGCCAGCAAATGCTCCAAAATAAATCCAAAGCGCCAGGTGAATCACAAGTAGTAGTTCCTCACTATACAATCTCCAAAGTRTGTGGTAACAGAGAGGAATTTTCATCTACTAATAGAAGTAGCTAGTAGTGCTAGTAGTAACTACTACTAGCTAGCATCCTCACTAGCAGTAAAACAAGCACCATGAAGACAAGAGGGAAGAACCCTTATGGAGTCATGTCAACAGGAATAAAAAGTTGAGAACCCTGAGAACCCCTTCCCTGGGGAGGAAGAACTGCTTGGAATGTAGCAAATTGTGTGTAGTTTTAAGGCATTGATTCTGGCATCAATTCCAGACACAAAAAGAATAACATCAATTCCCCAAMATCAATCCGMAACCATTATTTGTTTATGCAACATGAATATTTCTTATGTACAACATGGGATTGTCCTTGTTGACATTCCTGTGGAAGCTTCTCCTCYTGACCCTTTGTGTTGCTTCATCAATCATGTACATGTTGAATATTGGCGCATAGAGTGCCATGAGACCTCTGGTGAAGACCCTGTGGTCTACTCCACAACAGTTTAGAAGCACTTACTCATTGTTGCCAGAGCTAAACAAGTGGAGGAAAGGAGACTGGTTCCAGCTCCTGATTACAATCCTTGGATTTCTCCTATCCCTTTGATGTCTTTCAATTGCAGAAAAATCCTCTGTGTCAAGCTCATAGTTGAGAGCAATGCTTAGGATGATGAATTCTAATGACATGTTCCTCGCTTGATTGATGCTTGGTTTTTGTCAGCACACATTGAGGTCCATTTGATGCTGCTACAACTATCTTTTTGCAGTTTTGCTGATTGAGACTCCAATTGTGACACTTTAGATTTGCTTTGGCTCAGTTTGTGACACTTTAGATGGTTCCCCTAGCTCCTGGTGACACCTCAGTGACACTTTAGAACTTGACGCACCATGTCAGTGACACTTTAGATTTRTTTTGGTGCACCAATTTGGGCTCCCCCTGCTTACTATGACTAAAGAGTTTTTGAATCCACAATTCCAAAAAAAGTATGAGCCTGCCTGGACCAAAAATCTCTGTATTTGTGTCAAAAACACATACCTCTATGTGTGCACAACTGAAGTCTAATTCAATTTTTTGCAAACCAATGTTTATAGGAATGACCCATTGACTTAAAAAAATTTGGGGTGGTGGGCATGATGACCTCTGCTGACACACATGTGAGGCTAAGTGAGTTTCTTACTTGTGGAAAAATATTATTACAGTCCAGGAAAATAAAAGAAGAACAGTGTCTGAAAATTATGTCCGGCATGAAGGGTAGGTAAAATTTCTGGGCTCTCCCTTTAGTCTTTCTGGCATATCCAATTGTACAGGGAATGAACCAGCACATCAGCGGCACTTGCACCTGCAAAACAGCATGTAAAATGGATGATTTTGAGCAGCTACAGCTCAAGTGTGTTAGCAGCAACAAAAGGTGCACCTTCAAGTTGGCGAGCAGCTCACTAAGACCACTATTGCTGCTTGCTGAAACAGTCAATACTAACAAGACAGTAGTAGTAGTAGTAGTAGATTAAGAGCTAAGGCTTTAAAGGAGACAGGGGCCTCTCACTCCTCTACTCCTTATATTGCCCCAGTCAGGGCCTTACTAGCAGCTTAGTAGGCAAAATTGGGAACAGTGCCAATYGACAGCCCTCCTCATACATTGATCTTTTCCAGGATCCTGCTGCCAACCCCCATGGTGAGGATGCAGCCATCTGTAGAAGAGTCTACAATGGAATATACAAAAAGGTTCAGAACACTGCTGGGATACTGCTAATTGCATCTATCCTGCTACAGGAGGGGGAGGTCTTAGACCTCTTTGAAGCTAAAGCCATTGGAGGAATGGGGATCTTTGTGAACACTACTGATTCTAATCCTTGCCTACATGCCATGCAATGGCTCTGCAAGTATCCTCAGAGCCTCATCAGTCCCTCACCAAATGCCAACAAGATTTTTTGATACCTCAACAATGTGATATCAGGCCRGGGAGAGCCAGTACAAGTTACCACAAATATGTTTGCCCTCACCTGTCCTGTAAGGATATGCACAGTCCAGTGGCACAGGATTATAACTTTGTACAGACAATGACATCAMGTGCCACAAGACCTTCTTTGTCCCCTTCAAACTCATGCCACTGGTCTTGGAGAAGTAGTGTAAACCTCAGGAGACCTTCATCATCATGCAACTGTGGCTTGCAGCCCATGCTTTTGACACCATCTTCCAACCCATGGTAGAGGCCCTACACCATGTACCAGGTACCTGGGTTAGGACACCTATAACTTGTGAGATAGCTCATACAGAACTAGGCCCTCTGTTCCTTGCAGAGGCAGATCTCACACTTACATGAAAAAAAGGTCCTCCGTTGAGACCTTCTAGGACTGCTACTAGTAGTTCCCGTCCCTACACATGTAAGCACAACAACTGAAGAATGTTGAACAAATACTACAAACATATTTGTTTAGCCAATAAGTGTTTGACTTTTAAGAAACGCATTAGGCATTCATAGTAGAGTATTTATTGCCGCATGGTGCTAGGTGCTGTTTCTTTTGTCTCCGCCATGCTTGAAATAGTTTTGGGAACACATTAGCTTTTCTTCCTTGATCATCGCATTCCATTTCTTGTCTTCGCCACTGCCATGATCTCTCACCGTATAGGGCCTACCTCGGTTTCTCGGAGACCAGGAGCGATTTCGATCTCCCCAACGCAACCCATCAATGTGTTGAAAACACCATTTTTGTACATCATCGTCCTACCCTTCTTCATGGCTGGGCAGTTTTCATCCACGTATACGAAATGCACAAACTTGCTGCTAGCGAGCAGGCGGGTTCCACCAAAGATAGCACCGCCCGCTGCGGCTGTAGCGATCTTGTCCGAGAGGACATCGATGCCTCCGTTTCCCTTCTCGATCAGTTTCATGTCCGTCTTGGAATTCCCGTCGTAGCCGATCAGGATCCAGTCGACTTCCGTGTTCGAATCGTCTCGGACTTCGGCCCAGCCTTCCACTACCGATGGAAGGACGTTGACCCCCGAAGAGCGCTTGACGCCCCCGCTCCTGGGATCGGTTTGCATCGTGCCGGCAACCGCCGGAAGATTCGACTTTGACGACGCCATGGTAGCGGTATTTGTTATTGTGTGGGTGGTGACTGATCTGTTATCGATTATCGACAACAGAGACCTACCAGGTACCGGTATGGTCTTTCAAAAATCTTCATCCCCGTGATTGCTCGATTTGTCGTACTGTGGGTTACGTACGACACTAACGTMTACAAGTACTAGTACGAGTAGTACTACTATGTGTGAAAACTCAATCACGAGTCTCGCTCGCTCGTACTGGTAGTACCTGACGATGAATGTACGAATACGAGTTCGTACCTGTACAAGAAGGTGTGAGTGTAATTACTGTACGATACGAGTAGTACAGTACAGTACTAATTAACGTTCTATGAGCAGTCGTGCCTTTGTTGACGTGTGACTCACGGCTCGTGACTGTTGCAAGTTTGAGAGAGATGACAGTGAACATGAATCGCAATACAGTACAGTTGTGAGGCTAAATCCATTTATCTCGATTGCTCCGCCATACCCAAGGAAAGCGTACTTCGTACCTTCTACCTGTCGGCAAACAGAACGAAGCGCCGAGGCAATGGACCAAAAGGAACGCTAATTTGTCACGGAACGACGCGATCAATGACAAGGGAATCTAGCAAGTAACCAAGGTTATCGGAAACACAGCAACGCGCCATCAAAGCACCAGTAACACGAATTATGAACTTGAATTATCCACAGCGCAGAGTATTTCGTGGGCAGGGAGGTGCAACCGATCGCCGTCTCCCAAAACATAGAGCACGTCGACGSCAAACCCACGAATTAAATTCTTCGGACCACCACACCGAGGATACGCACCAAAATCCGAATCCAGAGAACATCGGACTTGATGGGATCGGCGACGAGGCCTGCGGTTCCCTTACAATAATACACACAGGGGGCGGTGGCGGTGGCGATGGCGATGGCGATGGCGATGGCGATGGCGAGAGATGGACTGGACTCGCCAGAGAGCAACAGAACCACATTTCCAGGGATAGATGCACAGCAGATTCGAGCTGCAACAACAACAACGAGCAACAAGCCACCGCGGAYGGCGATCGTAGCGAATCGCATATTGATGACAACTCCCACACCGCCAGAAATCCTGGAGAAGAAGAAGAAGAAGGCCCCCCTCCCCCTTACCTCGCCGAGATCAAGCACCTGAAACGTCGGATCCGCAACRTTCAAGAACTATCGATCCAAGCGAGCAGGGATTCAATCGCATCCGATGTTACAAAATACCAGGACAATGTGCTGAACGCCACCCAGAATTGTGTCAACGAATGGAGATCCATCGCGAGGCATTACAGCAAGAGCAACGACGACGAAGGTGACGAGACCTGCCTGCCGGCGTCTACCCGTACCGAAGTGGGACTGATCGTCTTTCAACTYATTCAATTGTCCGTTCAATCGGGACCCCTCTCGRGTGCAARGCCGGGGTATTTCAARCGATGCGGTGCCTCTGTTGCCAGRGTGGTGCTCGACTTTTTGGAAGAAGTCGTGCCGCAACACGAGGCGCTGGGCATCGATTGTATGGGATTTTCGACCAAACAACTGGAAGCAATGAGGAAATGGAAGGTGGATGCTSAGAAAGCTGTGGCAAACAACAAACCACCTTCAAAGTCGGTCCTGAAAAAAATGCAGCAGCAGCAGCAGCGGCAACAACAACCGAAAAAGGGGAAGAAGAAAAAGAAGAAATGAGAYAGACAAACTATAGTCCGTTTCGACTTACAAATAAGAAGAAAATTTTTGGTTTTGCATKGCYTCGTTTTCAACAAAGTTTTTATTTTAAGACCTTTTTAGTCACAAAAATCTCGACGCACGGTATTGATACAATAAGATATCTACACGGTCCATCTCATCCTCTAGAACACTACAGGCATGGGCTGTCAACCGAACTACTGGATCCGTGGAAGTTGTCGCTTCCTCTGAACAGTCAATCGGKATGTTTTGCATTAGGTCTTCCTGTATTCGAAGCAAACGATTGTAGTGTTTAGCATGCTTCTGGTAGCCAGAAAAAGAAAGCAACCTGTTCGTAGCGCGGTCTTCTTGGTAGGTGTCCTCCTCKAACAAGACACGGAACCTCTTTATTTCGCAATCTACGCTAAAGTGGCATGCTTTTCGGGTGCTTGACCACAGAATACCTATTACCATCGGGTCCAGCTTCGATTCTACGCGGTATAGACAATCATGAAACGGGACACCGGGAGTAGCATCGATGGACAATCTCGACAGAAAAGAAGAATTTTTTTTCGAGATTTGGGTAACCCCGATCGAAAACTCATCCGGAAGATCAACACTGTGGCTGCTTCTTTCACTGGTAAGGAGATGTTTTGAGAAGATCGTCTCCCCAGACCGATCTACCGCCAAACCTGCTGCCGARGCGGAGTCAAATTTGACCAATACCCGAACGTCCTCGTTTGTGTAAATATCATCCTGGAGATTGTACAACGCTAAGGTATCGTAGGAGGATGCATCCAATTCCCAGATATCTGTTTGATTGGTCAGGAGCAACAAGATTTGTTCTGGAACAAGGCCGGTGAAAAACTTTCTCACGACTTCCAAAGTACATCCATACGGTAGCCCGTGGACTAGAACGTACGCAGACTGGTCGATCTTTTCCGGKATACTGATTTGAGATAGATCTGGTGTCCACAATAACTGAGTCATCCTCCGCGGCTTTTTTACCGCGTTGTTCCGTTTTTGCGAATAGCTGTTGCGTTGTTTTTGTTGGTGCTGCCTCTTTTTTCCATTAACAACGTTTAAAGAGGCAATGTTTGAAAATCCCGATTTCGTCCCTTCTTTCTGCTGTTGTAATATCAAGGTGGACTCATCAATTACCTTGATTCCTTTGCGATTCTGTCGCTCTTGTTCCGTTCGAGCACGAGCCCTTCTCCCTAATTCCTTGATTGCGTCAGCAGACGGTTGTACAACTATTCTTTGCAKACTGGTAATAGCAGTTACATATTCGAAAGGATCGTTGGGCCTCTTGGCTTGAATGGTTTGTTCCTTCATTCTGCCTTCGCCAATTTGAAAGACATGACTAACAGAAGTATGTTCTTCCCTCGTGCAAACGCAACCATCTTGYACAGCGCTTTCCTTCCCATCGAACTCAACGACATGGTTGCCGCCTTTTTCTGCTGCTACTCCAAGAGCGATTTCATTTGGAACAAAAATTACATCGTCCTCGCTGATCTTTCTGCCATTGCTTGTTTCTCCTTCAAGCTCGGGTAGTAAAACGGACGAATGAACTCGTAAGGACAAACACAGAGGATACGAAATTTCTCTCTTCGACTTGGTATCCATCATTCGCCGAAGATACGACGCGATAAAAAYCCCGTGACTTGCCGATGACTCTCGACAATTTCAGGGAGAGTCTGCTCCTTTATACCATCTTCAATATCTGCGACGACGATTAACAAATTACTGTTTGTGTGATCTCTGTTACAATCTCGTTGCAATCGATTTTTTGTAACCCGTTTTCGTTAGACTCCATCAAACCTCGACTTGAGGCCATCTTAAGATCGCCCTGTTCTTACCAAATTGAATCGAAGTAGTCAAGGAATCGATCAATCAGAAACTGGGAATGTGAAGGCATAAGAAACCTGCAACAATGTGGAGTAGAAGAACTTGCATAATTACAAGAAGCACTTTTCCAAAAGAAGCATAGAATTTCATATAGGCCTGCTGTCCAACCTGATACTTGAAGGGTATTTGCCTAGCATTTTCTCTTCTAAGGTTCTCATCGATTTGGTGTTGTCTTTTATCTCTGATAAGTTTCAAATCAGCAATGAGTGGGATATCCATTACCATATCTCTGTTGAAAACCAAAGCTCCTGGTGATGTCTTCACTACTGCATTCACTGCATACCTGGTAGCATGCATTGCAGAGGCAAGGGCATTGTCAATAATCTGATCCTCATCAAGAAACTCTTCCTCGGGCGGCCTTGAATGAAGAGTGGCTCGTAGAACATTGGCAATTGTCTGGTGAACTCTCTCACAAACTGCATTTGCCTGTGGATTCTTGACAGTAGTTTGGACGCTCTTAATCCCATACTGATTCAGTAACTGTTTGAATGCGGTCCCAATGAATTCTGAGCCATTATCATGGATACACCTGTTGGGTCTTGGATATCTTGCTAACCAACAGTTTGAAAACTGCTCTGCTATGTGCTCACTTGATTTGTTGTTGATTCTGATGATTTCCAATAGGTTCGTGACTGGATCAATGCAGGTAAGTGCATTGATCACTAATTCTGTTTCATCTGGGAGAAGGATTTTCCAGGGGCCAATCAAGTCAACACATACTTCATCCCAAGGGACAAGCTTGGCCTCGCGAGCTGGTAATAGACCATGTCCCTGACCTAGTTGTTTGAATCTGTGACACTCRTCTGGACACTGGTATTGTTTGCACCGTAAACTAAGTCTTGGGGCATAAAATCTGGCGCTGATGGTTTCATAGAGCCTTGTGCTTCTGCAGTGTCCCAATAGGAGGTGGTACCATCTTAGGGTCTTGTCTACAAGGCCATCTGGCAAGTAGATCTTCCAGTTGTTATTAAATGTCACTGTGAGCAGTTCGAAGGTGCCTATCCTTCTTTTGATGTAGTGCTCTGGGTCAGTTTCAAGCAGATATTGGCACTGGGGATCCGTGAGTTGGTATGTGTAGAGGCTTGCATTTGTGATTGGATTCTCCATTTCTGACACCGGTGGTAAATTGAGCAAGCATTCATGTAATTCTGGCTCCAAGTAAAATACATCCTCTGGATCCTCTTGAGCGACAAACTCTTTAAAGTTCACAACTGTTCCTTTACTCTTTTCATATATTTTCTGCTCTTTGTCCCCCACAGTGCACGGATCCATTCTAGCACTCGGGAAAAACAGTCTGCAAGAACATTCTTCTTGCCTGGAATATATTCCCAGTAAATATCGAAGCCTTCCAGGCTTAGCTTCCACCTGAGAACACGGGACTGGGACAACGTCCTGAATATAAGGTTCTTATGATCAGTGTAGATGTAGATTTTGCCCCTGTAGAGCATATTTCGGTATTCTTTGAGGCACAGGATGATAGCAAGTAGCTCTTTCTCCATAGTTGTGTAATTCATTTGGGTTTTGTTCAGTTTCTTTGACCAATATGCAATTGGTTTGCCATTCTGTAGGATTGCAGCTCCGAGCTGGTAATCGGAAGTGTCAGTGTAAATGTGAAAGGGCTTATTCAGATCAGCAAAGGTGTTGATAGCATCGTGTGCCAGGAGGGCCTTCATTTCTTGAAAAGCCTGATTACATGCTGGGGTCCAGATGTAAGGTCCGGAGCCTGTGAGGGCTGTTAGTGGGGCCAGTACGTGTGATCTTCTAGGCCACATGGACTTGTAATAGTTCACTGCACCAAGGAAAGAGCGGACCTGTGATTGATTTTGGGGAACTCCCATTTTCAATATCCCATCTACCTTCTTTTGCCAAGGCTTGACTCCTGTTGGGGTGAGCCAAAATCCAAGGAAATCAGACTCCTTCACTGCCCACTCACACTTGAGTGGATTGCACTTCATTCCATTGGACGCTAACCGTTCTAGGACTGGGTCTACCAGAGACAGGTGTTTGCCAAATGGTCCTCGGGACCAAATCCCCATATCGTCAATATATACTTCAACATCCAAACCATTTAGGATCTTGGTGATGAAGGCCTGGGCATAATCTGGAGATGATTTAAGTCCCATTGGTAGTCTTAAGCATCTGTAATTGCCATGGGTGGTAGTGAGAGTGCATATTTTCTGGCTCTCCTCATCCAATTCAAAGCAATAGAACATCATAGAGAGATCAATCTTGGTGAAGTGATCATACCGTGTTCTTCGGTTCATGATGTCTTGGATTCTGGGGAGATTGAACTTGGGCCTTTTAATCCTCTTGTTTAATTCCCGTAGATCAACAAGCCATCTAAAGGCTGGAAAGCCCCATTCCGAGTTGCCAGTGGGTGTGATAACCCCTTCATTGACCAGATGCTGGCATTCCCTTTGAAAAACATCTTTGTGTCTGTAAGGGACTGGATATGGATTTATGTAAACTGGTTCTGCATTATCCTGTAGATCAATGTGGATCTTTTCATGAGGATATCAACCTAGTTTGCCATCAAACAATTCTGTGTGTTTGGCTAGCATCTCTGTGAATGCTAGTCTTTCTGATCTGCTCATGTGCTCTTGCTGGTCTGCAACCTGCTCTGGAGTCACTTTCTGGTACTGCGCGTCCAGGATTTGATTAGGCTTTGTACGTTCAGTCGTAGCCCTGGCAGTATCTACTGCACTGCTGGCAGCATCTGCTGCTAAATAACTGTCCGAACCGATTGCACGTCTGCAATTTTGTGGTTGGCAGCTTGGGAGTAGATGAAACTCTACGAATCCTCCATCNAGATAGTGAGTGAGCAGCAATCTCAACCACTCACTCTCACTCTTTATTGTAATCACCGTATTATACCACACTAAAGAGTATCCGTACATTTCGCAGGTTATGAGCAACAATAGACCCACCTCAGCTCATCACCATTAGTAGCATAACAACCCAACAGTAGTAGATTGATTTTCTATTCACCCATCAGTCATAGCAGGACGCTGCTCAACAAGCGTTTACAGGCTGAGTCGACATCCCGGAATTTGGACAGCGGACAGCAATAAAAATTCCTGGAAAGAGAACCCAGTACAAAATCACGTAGCACCCTACGGTACAAATTCTCAGAACACTAGTGTCACCAAGAACACTACCAGTATCCGCAACAACAGTACACCACCATGGCACCAACAAAGAAACGGTCGGCAACACCAGGAGGTCGCGGAGGCAACCGAAACAACAATCCAAAATCCAAAACTCCAGAGATAGGCAAATATCTAATAAAAACACCTCCTCGACAATCCCATACACCGAGTAACCTCAAGCTCATCCCATACGATGGGACAATTCAAAGAGAACTCAGAGCACTGGAATGAGTATTCCCCCCTCAATCCACACCAGTGATCTACGACAATGAGCTCTTTGCCTTCAAACCAAAATACCCACCATCGCCAACCAGTTATATGACCCACCTTACTGTTATTCACACCAAGGAACTCAACAGTACCAATAAAATAACAGCACTCGGCGATAACCTCCGAGACCTACTCCATCGGAACCACTTCCGAATAATTGACAAAGAGACAAGATATCATTACAGCATTGCCATGATAGAGTATATGAATAAACTGCTTCCCCCTACCAAAGAAACACCACCAGAAGCAGTCCCAGCCCGACGACAATCTAAACCCCCTCCTCATCTCACAGGAAGCCCAGACCCACCCTCTAGAGAAGAAATCCGGCAACAAATACTCAACAAACTCACTATAAACCCCTCATCAGCACGTCAACAGGATCCAGCAACAAGTGACAGTGAATTGTCAATGAGCTCCATGGAAATACCACCAGCCGACCTCATTAAACAATTCGCGAAAGAACAAGAACACCACTTAAGCAAACAGACGGCACAAGAGGACCAGGAGGAACACATCACTGATCCGGAGGACAGTGTAGAAGAAAGGATCACACAGTATGAAAAACAATATGAAACTATTGAAAATGAGATTAGATCAATTCAAGACAGCTTTGATACTACCAATCCTACACAAAATACACCAACACTGGCAGACCAACTTAAGGCAAACGACGACAAATGGACCCGCAGACTTACCACGATCGATAAACAGATCCTTCAACTGCAGATAGGATACGAGACAGTCATTCAATCAACCAAAACCGAACTGGCTAATACCAAGGAGGTGCTACACGCCACGAAAGCGGAACTGGATACTGCAACAGCAAACCTTCAGGCTGCCCTACAGACAGTCAACACCCTGAAGACCCAACTAAACTCACAAACAGATGAGTTACAGGGAGTACTCAATATTAGCACTGACCTCCAGAGCAATCTAAATGCAGCAGCCACCACAACGTGGGCACTAAACCAACGCACCACGAAAGCCAACTCAGTTCTTGCCTCCATTAAGAATGAAACCATCCAACTGAAACACCTTCGTGATGAAGCAAGCAGTATAACCACTCGGACACCGACTATCACCGCAGAACTCACTGATCAACTAAACACCATAGTCGAACAAAGCACGGAAAAGCTAAAGGAACAAAGCAAAGCAATTGAAATTCAAGTCACAAGTGCTGTATTGGAACAGACACAACTGATGGAATCAACGCTTGAGTCAACAATAGATGAGATCATCAAAAACAAGCTGGAACACAAAGAGCATATAGTCCAAAGCCTCAAAGATACAGTCATCTCTCAAGCTAAACACGAAATAGTATCACAAGCAACCGAGACAATAAAAGAGGTTAATAATGACCTAACAAAAACAAAGAACAATCTCCAACAGATATGCAACAACCATCTTGCTAAACTCACGTCTTGTAAACAAGAAATAACACTCGCAATGGACCAATCAGCCTCAGCAGCACAGGAAAA